AATGACGGGTAAGGGTTCAAGTGGAACAGGACGGACTCTACCTTTGGCGGACATACATGGGCACTTATCACAACTCCTACAAAAAGCTCTAATATCCGCTCCCATACCTGGCCAGTAAAACTGATCAGCGACCTTCCTATAAGTTTTCCTACGAGAACAGTGACTTGCTAGAGGGCTCTTGTGAGCTACAGAGAGAATGTTACTACGACAAACAGCAGGGACAACAAGTAAAAACCGACCTACTTTGGCGGGTCGCTTGGATGACACACAAGACCTGTGTAACACCCCATTAATAGAAACAAGCTTATAAACCGACCCATCTCTCACCTGATCCTCCTCCCCGGAAGTCATCTTCTCCCTTACCCGCTTCAGAGTGGCACACGAGCCTTGAAGCTTGGCGAACTCCTTGGGCGTCACAGTCAGCGACAACAAATTCGACAGAATCAGGGGATGCGGTCGTTTCACCTCCGCCGTCCGTGGCTCTACAGCTTGGACCTTGGCTGCAGGCGTGGCAGCGTGTGAGGGTGGCGAGGCGACGTCGGCAGGTGGCGAGTCGTCGTCGTCAGCAGGTGGCGTGGGGACTGGTGCTGGTGGCGAGGAGAGTTTTAACGATTCCGGGTCGTTAGGGTCACGAACACCTGGAACATTACCAATGAGGACACTAGCAAATTTAATGGGAGCTCTTACCACATTAGACCAACCAGTGAAATCGGGGCAACGCAGGTAGCACCTAACAACAGGGAACTGGTCAACACGACCTAAATAATCGGCGACACTAACCTTCGGGCAGCTGGAGATGTCAGCGTCAGGCAGGGCTTCCTCAGAGACAATAATGCACTAGCAACCAGTGTCCCAGATGAAAGTAGATGCCCTAGACCCATTTATTGTTCCACTGACACAATAAAAGGGGGCAGCTCCTGTCTTCCATGCAGAATCCGACCTTGTTGCTGGGCTGAGGAGTGTCAGCAGTCTTGAAGGCGAGGGGATTCCTGGGGCAGCGAGAATGAATGTGCCCTTCTTCTCCGCAGCTGTGACACGGCACGGCTGTGAACTACTCCTGTGTACTCCTGGGGATGGTTCCTCGGAGGACGGAGGCTTCGCGTTCTTCACTACAGGAGGGGAAGACTTAGGGTAGGCGTTACGAGCAGACGCCCAGTTGTCGGCAAGACAAACAGCTTCTCCAAGCGTCGCTGGCTGGTGTTCTTTGATGAAAATTCTCAAGTCTGGAGGTAGAGAAGTCAAAAACTGGTCTAATATCATGAAGTTAGAGAGAGACTCAAAGCCTCTAGCCATTGTTGAAACAAACGACCCAGGTGAATCGAAAACTGCTGGTACGTTTCTCCTGCTCTAATCTTCGTTCTGCGGAAATCAACACGATAACAGTCAGAAGTCTTGTTAAATCCTCGCAAGAGAGCTTGCTTTAACAAGAAGTAATCTCTGGTGATGTCGGCAGACAGGGACGTGTAAATTTCTACAGGCTTACCACTCAGTAGGCTACCCAACCTTACAGCATAGCTATCTGGGTCTACACCAAGCAGCTCAGCTACCCGTTCAAACCTAACAAGGTAGGAGGCGATGTCTTCTTCACGGTACACAAGCAAGCTGGGTTTTACCACATTGTCTTGTATATGGCCAGAGGATTCTGGTCTACTTGAAGCATTAATCCCAGCTAGTTCTAGGTCCTTTTCTATCTGCAACTTAGCTAATTCGAACTCTCTTTCACTATTTCTGCTGCTTTCCCCCATCTCCCTCTCTTTCTGACATTCCTCCACCTCTTAAATGTGCCTCCATCTCTCTCTCTTTCTGAAGTGCCTCCATCTCTTTCTGACGTGCCTCCATCTCTCTCTCTTTCTGAAGTGCCTCTCTCTCTTTCTGACGTTCCTCTCTCTTGGCATTCTGTTGGGTGACCACATACTGACCAATCTCAGTACCTGTCAGACTCAGGGCCACCGCTTGACCTTTCAACACCTCAAAACTAGACATAATGATCCAAAAGGCCAAGAACAAAGATAAAAATAAACAACTTACCCCGCAAATAGCCAAAGGTAACTCACCTAGTGGCTCAATCAGACCAATAAATGATTTGATCCGACTGGAGGGAGCCTTGTTCCCCACCCAGCCCAGCTGAATCACTCTCAGGATAAAGAAACCGCACCAGGTGAAACAACAACAAAAATGCTATGACAGCATCCACAGTGCACCCCAACCAACACTAATTAACTTCCCCAAGTACAAGGGAGAGCGACAAAATTAGCACACAGAAGGAAGGGATAACCACTGAACAACACTTACTTCCGGGCCGCAGACAGTAAGAGGCACGCTCACTGCGACTTAAAACAACACCGGAACGAATGTTAAACCTCAGAAACCAAAGGTCAGAGACAATCCTGGCAAGGTCGCCACTTGTAAAGGCCTGGGAATTAGGGATAGAAATCCCTTACCAAACTAATCAGGTTCTTAATAAAGGAAAGTCAAGGACAACGGTTTTCTGAGGAATAGCAAACAACCGTTAGAGATTGACATCTCTATACTATAAATAATATAACAAACTCTGACACCACTCAACAAGCATCAAATAATTACGGGAGTCAAACAATTAATGCAGTCAACAGTTAATGGAGTCAAACAATTAATGGAAGCAAACAATCAAAGGGAGCAAACAATTAATGAGAGTCAGCAATTAATAGAATCAAACAGTCAATGGGAGTCAACAATTGATAGAATAGAACAATAAAGGGGAGTCAGCAATTAATGGAATCAAACAACCATAGAATCAAACAATGAACAGATATTTCCTAAGGCAGTGGCCCTGGGGGAAGGTTCTGGAACAGGGTGATCCACACTCAGGGTAGGGAAGCGTCCATTCAACTCCACACTCGAGCGACAGCGGCGGATTGTCTTGAAATGGCAGGAGAACACTGGGGCACAGAAGGAATGAGATGAACTGACGGTCGTCGTATGTGGTAGTGGTAGATGATCAGAGAATTGACAGTCGATAGGTGAAGGTCTGGGGACACAGCCCATGGGTCCAGGACCTATGATGAGATCACAGCCAGAATTTGACAAACAGCTGGGTAGCTGGATAGTGACTGTATGGCTGCTGGGGTGAATCTGCCCGCGACAAGAGTAGCAACTGCCGGTTTCACCTCTGTCCAACCAACCAAGTGTTAGTCGCACCAGCAAACAAGCGAGTAAGCAGCTGTAACGAGCAGGAAGATCGTTTCCGCCCTTACAACAGTAAATATTTCTGTTACAGAATAAAAAAAAGGAAATCTCCTTACTTATGTTGGCTTACTGCTGCCTGACACACACAGACATTGTAAATCGTATACCATAGCTTCTATCTTGTCGAAAATAAATATTAAACTTTATAATAAACTATATTACTGGTCCCATCCCTGTGATATTTGCCTTGCTAAGCTCCGGAAAAAATAAGTTCATTTCGTGGTTCAGATGGTTGAAAATTTATTACTACGACGACAAAAAATACTGTATGAATGAATATAGATAAGAAACATACCTTAAATTATAACAGAAGAAAGTGTTAATTGAAGATGAGGCTCAGCAGTCGTCAGCGAGTCGGAGTTGTGATGTCAACATTCTAGCAATGTTTCAAGTTCATAACAGTGTTGTGAAAGTTGATTTATCCGGATTACCAGCTCTTTTCATTGTACTTATCAAATCACAAAAATAATATAATTCGATGCAGACATCTGTAATAAAGTACTGGAAGAACTTTCATAAAATATAATGATGATTATTATTCGTCGTAAGGCAGCCATCGGTAGGGGGTAGGCACCGGATGTTGTTTCCAGCAATATAGGGGTATGCGCACTGTTCCCTTCCGATACCTCGTTTATCGGGATGACTAGTAATAGACCAGCACGAACACTATCAATCGGCATCGTGCTTTGTAGTGACTAGGGATACGGCCCATTGTCTTTGGCTCGTACGACCACCACAATTAAGTTATGAGCCAATCGTTAGTGAATCGTTCTTATGGTAGTTCGTATCTCAGCAGTGTTAGTGAATCTAGGCTCAGGCCTACAAAGCCTTCGTGTGCAGCGCTCCAAGTGGAGGACTTGGTACTAAGCAACTAGCTGGCTCCCTTGATGCCCAAGCAGTATATTTTATCAAATTAATTCATACACTGTTGACAAATTTACAAGCTAGCTATGATATTAACAAAAGTTACCATGGATTCATAATTTGCCATCAAGAAGATGCAACTTTGTGGCTTGTGGTAAATATTTAGGACATGAACAGCATGACGTCATAGGTTTTCACGAACATTTTAAATATTACTGGAGAACTGTTGGCACGTTCGTGTCCTGAATTGAATAAATAAATAAATATTAAAGTAGTGCTAGTCCCCCCCCCAAAAAAACAAAACAAAAAAACAACACTAATAAATAAAATTAAGGGCAATCAGGGGAGAATTTGAGATCTATCCAGAAAAGTTAAGTAGTTCCTGGGGAAGGGTACTCAGTGTGTTTGGAGGAGCATGTCACTCATTCTCTCTCTCGTCACTGGCATGAGGATGTGTCAGTATCTGTGCCGAAAAACTCCCTACGTGGTTACGACGCTTGTGAGCTACCTCGACATTACTCACAAGTTCAGTTCAATAGCATACAGTGATTAGATAGGGGAGGGGAAGGGTATACACAGTGGATAATTGGTGGATTATTCCAGGTTTTTGTTAACTTGGCAGGTGGTGATAGCGGTGGCAATGGCGACTCTCACAAGGAAGTCAACGGCGAGAACTAGCAGCCAGGCTGACGACCTGATTTACCGGCTGGGTGCACCCTGATTTCCCAGGGTTTGGCTGTGCAGACGCTCACGTGGATGAACCACCAAGACCGGTTCAGAGCCTGTCGACCATACTACAACAAAGCTAAGGAGTGTGTATGTGTGTGGGGAATTTTTGGGCTCAAACTATATAATCTGAGGGTTGCATACACCTGGTTGTACAGTGACCTGACCCACTGAGGCAGGATTACCTCTGTCGCTCTGCTCCTGGATGCAACTGAGTGAAATGTTAGGTAGTGTGGTGTAAGATCGACGTGCTATGGGAGACTGAAATTCCATGGTACTAATGAGTAGAGTAACTGTTGGCTTCTGAGTAACTGGTGCTGATTCTCTATTAGTTACTTTCATTTTCATGGTTGATCTTACACTCTGGACGTGGGGGTTCTAAGGGATTTTCTGGTGATATGCATGTGATGTATTGACTGTAATGTTGTATTGACTTTAAAGGTGCTCACAGCTGGGCTAGTGTCGTTGTGCACGGTTGTGGCTATGGTGGAGGAAGCACCCATGACTTATGAACTCAGGAGTAAAGTACATAAGTTTAATGGGTGAGCCGTCCCACTGGCAAATCATGAGTGGCTGCTCGTCCTCATATAAGTTCAGGTTTTATGTATGTGCATACAGATTAGGCTTAGATGATATCAGGCTGTTATGATATTTGAAGATTATCTTGTTGGATTTCACACCTTTATAATATTTTATGAATATGTTGCTGAGGGGATGCTGAGGCAGAGGACCCGTCAGAGGGAGGATTTTAGATTTAGAGTGCTCCCGAGGGGGCTAATTTATTGGGCACCCCCTTACATCCTGTGCAAGGTGAAGCGCAGAAGCGTTTACAGCACCCATCTGGGAAGCATGCGTAGTTCATGCTTGCCTTTATGACTCATTTATTAAGGGCGTAAAAGCCTGAAGGGTCATGGGTTTTGTCAGCAAGTTACATAAAGTGACAGAATGATGAGTGTGTGTGGGGAAATTCCCAGTACAATTTATCTGTTAATGGCAAAGTGTGGCAGGTCTCTAATATTGTCAAGTGCCAGGCCTGTCACTAGGAGGAAGGATACCTGGTCAGTGAGGGAAGAGGTGTTGGTAACGGCTGGGTTCCTGTAGGAGGAGGTCATAGGGCAACTGAGGATGTAGTGAGAGAGGGTGTGAGAGTCTGTTTGACCACAAAGTTTTCAAACAGTGCGGCCAGGCTCATAGATTAGATTGCCCCCGAGGGGGCTAGTTTATTGGGCACCCCCTTACATCCTGTGCAAGGTGAAGCTCAGAAGCGTTTACAGCGCCCATCTGGGAAGCATGCAGAGAGAGCGGGACTTAACTCGGGGAGGGAGGACCTTTGACCTCAGCATTGCCGAAGCTGGTGAGGTCATATCATCATATTGCGTTGGGACGCACAGTGTGTTATGGGATGTGCCCGGGTCTTGGATGGAGGAGATCACTTTGGGACATATGCAACTATTTTCCTGAGCAGATAATATTGTGGTCTAGTGATGCAAGGATGTGTTGAGAGGTTTATACCAATGTCATATTTTTCCTGTACAGACATTTTCTAGTGCTATAAGGGTGTTGATGAGCATTAACACAAGTGTCATACCATTACCTGCATGACTCTTTAAGCCCAATCTCAGGAGCACCAGTCCAGGTCACGGTAAATATTAAAAGAAACTAAGTTTTGTTTGTGCTGATTCGTTATTCTAAGGGACCTTTCCACTGCAATACCATCCATAAATCTTCTCAATAAGAATTCTGATCGGTTACACACACATAAATACACGTGTATATATATATATATATATATATATATATATATATATATATATATATATATATATATATATATATATATATATATATATATATATATATATATATATATATATATAATGTGTGTGTGTATATATATATATATATATATATATATATATATATTTATATATATATATATATTGTTACGACCGTGTCGTATTTTTCTATTATTTTTTATATAACATGCTTCCATGTTGTTCCATATTATTCCTGTAATGATGTGTTATATTTACTATTATATATTCTAGTCACCTTACCCTGTGCTGTTAAGGTTTTAACTGTTATTATTTGTTCAAGCCCATCTTATTTCTTCATTTAGTATTGTAACAAGCATTCTTTGTTTCTCTAACGACCATCTGCATCGTTAAACGACCCATGTTTCACGGGCGTGTCGCACTGGCGGGAGCCGACCCTATATATAGTATCCCACCAGCAAGACTGAGTTCAGTCCAGTCCTCTTGTCATTCAGTTCACGTTCTTTTGAGTGACACCGTCACCTGTTACTTATACTTTATTTTATTTCTGTGTTGTTCCTGTCGCCACCAATGTGGTATATCTATGTGAGTACCTATTCATGTCTCTTATGTGTCCATCAGTGCTTGCTTAGTTACATTTAAGTAATTCAGTGTTGTTTCACAATAGTTAATTTCAGTGTAGTTATTTTATATGTTTATGCAGTGTTAACGTAATCCAATGCTTTATTATTCAGTTCTTTTGTTTTCGATGTTTTAGTATCATTTGTGTCTTAAAGGTTTCGATAGTGAATCAATTTGTTGTGACAGCCTACGAGGCTCTTTATTGTGTTAGTATTTATTTAATTAAATTAAATTCTTAAAGGTTTACTTTATTTATTTTTATTCCCTTTTGATTTACTTCACTTTTTTTGTTTGGTTACGCCTAGAACCTGGATATTAAAGTAAATTAAGAGACGGCGTAACAATATATATATATATATATATATATAATCAACAACCTCACCAGCAAGGAATCGAACCCTCGACCTACTGGGTGTGACTAGGGAACGCTTACCGGCTAGGCCACAAGGACACTAAAAGCAGTTCTAGACTCTGTTATATTTCACACAAAGCCTGTTCATCGAGCTGATGGCGCCGTGAACCAGCTGGATTCGGTAAAATGCTACTGACACCACATAAGAGGCACGGACAGTTTCCCAATGAGGTTCACGGCGCCATCAGCTCGATGAACAGGCTTTGTGTGAAATATAACAGAGTCTAGAACTGCTGTTAGTGTCCTTGTGGCCTAGCCGGTAAGCGTTCCCTAGTCACACCCAGTAGGTCGAGGGTTCGATTCCTTGCTGGTGAGGTTGTTGATTATATGTTCAAAGTCCGCGTGTTATATGGACTAAAAATGAAGTATATATATATATATATATTTTTTTTTATAAGTTATATATAAATTATTATTTATTTCTACTTCCTGCTATGTATATTCATAATTTTATCACTTACCATGCATAAGTTTACTCTAAATTCTGGCAGTTGGCCTGTTCTTTGTTGTGACCATTAATGTCCAGTGTTAGTACAGGAGGAAACAGAAGTGCCGAAGGAAACCTGCGATGTTCACTACCGTCACACCAGAAAACAGCTTTCCCACATCTGTCCTGGGCCCGGAATTGAACCCTGGATATAATGGCAGAGAAACGCACGTAACACTTGTATCACTAACACCCCCTTTGCAATGAGCTTCTTAATGAGACGTGACTGCAATATTCATCATAACCTACTGGGCTGCGAACCTTCAGGCACACCCTCTGAAGGCGTCGACCAATCACTGATCTTAAAAACTCTTAGCATTTGGCTTAACGCTCCAATAAAACCAGCGATGCTGAAGCCCAAGACTCACTCTCCCCCCACACTTGGCACTGGTGACATTAGTCGACCTGCATCTCTCCGTCACCTTTACCTGTAAGATTCTGCTTTTTGTGCTGATTATTTGTAGTGTCGTCTTTCTTTACAGTAAAAGTGTAAACTATCAATCAGATGAAAATAGTGTGATGGAGATATATATATATATATATATATATATATATATATATATATATATATATATATATATATATATATATATATATATATATATATATATATATACAGGTATATATAACCTCACTAGCCGGGAATCGAACCCTGGACCTCTGCATGTGGACAAAAATCGCTACCACCACGTGTAAATGTACTGTTGAGACATGTAGCCTCGTGTTTCCTTGCTGAAATTGGTAAAATGCTACTATGACCACATAGTTGGCACAGGCAATCCCTAATAGAGGTTTACGTTGCTTTAAAAAACAAGGCGACTGAGCAGACACTTTATGAAATAAAACAAGGCCAAGTATTACTTTTTGTTGGCCTTGTGACGCGGTGGTAGTGATTCTCGTTTGCACACAGAGGTCCAGGGTTCAATCACCGACTAGTAAGGTATTGTTTGTATATGGAAGTCAGAATGTGTGTGGACTGTTGATATATATATATATATATATATATATATATATATATATATATATATATATATATATATATATATATATATATATATATATATATATATATATATGAAAAAATAATCCTGCTCCGAATAATACTGATAAACAAAGGAAGACACGTAATATATACATATAAAGAAATATTCACCTGTCTCCTCCAAAATCATTCACCCATATTCACTTAAGGTATTCTTTAGTTCGGGCGATATCTTAACTAAATAATTTTATAAACGAAAGTACATTGTGTGTAAAATTAATCATATAAATAAGATTATGGAATTTTACATAATATATATACAGGGTGTCCCATAAGTTTCCATACAACGTATCACCAACGCCATTACAAGCATAACTCCAGCTGTGCTTGAACGTGTTCTTCAGCAGTGGAGGACACGCATTGAAGAGTGTTTTCAACAGAATGGTAGTCATGTAAAGCATATTATATAAATAAAAATGGATTTTCATATAAAATTTATTTTTCCTATGTATGGAAATTTATGGGACACCCTGTATATATACTGTATATATATATATATATATATATATATATATATATATATATATATATATATATATATATATATATATATATATATATATATATATATATATATATATATATATATATATATATATGTATATATTTATATATATATGTTTGTTTTTTTTGCTTAACGCATGGAGGGAGATAACTTTGAAAAAAAGATGCTAATCATTTGAACACAATTAAAAACTTTTATGTAGTACGCCTATCGTACAAAGCTCTTCAAATCATGATTACATAGAGCGGGAGATTGTCTTCGTACTAATGGGGTTAAAGGTGTAACTAACCTATTTTTGTCTGCATGGGTTTCGTTGAGTCTTGAACATCTATTTGTTGTGCTAGAAGTTTGTTGCCGCGAAAAACATATAAATAATACTTGAAGGCGTCTAGTTAGCTCCTCTTAAGCCTTTTCATAGATTTCTCTGCAATTTTTATTTTCAGTGTCCTTTGCTGTCTTCTTCCACTGTAACAAATTTATACACCGAGCGTTATATTGTGTTGTCA